GCGAAATTATATTGCAAAGTGAATAATATTTCTAACATTTTTAAAAAAATTTTGATTTTGCCAAGAGAAAGTGAAAAAAATGGGTTATGGTTTTTTTTTTAAATTGAATTTTAAATCAAATGATTAATTAGATTCGACTTCCGGGTTTTAATTTATACCCGATTCCCAGCCTACATTGTGATTTCTATCAGTAAAAAAAGAAAAAAAAATGGGGGGTACTGGCAATTTCTCAGGACCCAGCTGTACGCGCAAAGGCCTTGATTATTACAAGTAATAATTGATAGTTGAGCATTTAATCGCTGCTCTCTTTTTCATTGCACACGCATCTGTTTCTCTTTTCTTTTTTTTTTTATCTCTCTCTCACAAATGGTACTTGGGTTTTGTTATTTTCCCATCAGGTAAAAAAGGGGTGTTGGGGGGGGAGGGAAAGGTAACAAATGCAATGGCGTTTTTGCCCCCCTCGGGTTATACAACTCTTCCCTTTAACTTGAGAATTTTTTTTTTTTCTTTCCAATGATTTTTCAAACAGAAAATTACAACTGGCATTTGCATTATATATATTTTTGCTTCGAGTCAATCGAGTTATCGACTCAGATCGATGGTGAAAATATAGACCATGATCTCTCTCTCTCTTTCGCTCTTTCAATGACCATATGGTGCGCGTAAAGTTTCCTCTTGTTGAGAACTCCGCCTCTTACAAATACACCCCAAGGGTCCAACGTTTGGAAAGCCATCTATATATAATATAAACCATGAAAACTATCTCGATGGTCAAGTGTCCAATTCCAATAGAGAATTATTTTTTTTTTTTCTTCTTTTGCATGACAGGTAGCAGACCCTTGGCAAAAAATAAAATACCCACCGAACAATATGAATAACTTGTTGAAAAAGCTTTTTGGATTAAGACGTTTTTCTTCGTGAGTAACGAGCGGAAGAAAATTTTATAAAAGATTTTCGAGAATTTTTCAGTTAGAATAACATTTTTCTCAAATTTCCATAATTTGAAAGCAAAAGAGGGCTCAATTAGGACTAACAATATATATAAGATGAAACACCCGAGGCGCGGATTTTAATGAACATTATTAAAAGAGATAGTTTAATTATCTGAAATTGGATTTTTAACATGAATTTAATTATCCCGGTGTGTATCATTCTTGTAAATTTGTTTAATACCCGAACATTAGGTGCTATCTATATAGAAAGTCCTTTAATGACTGGAATCAATCTTCATTAGCTACCGAACGTCTCCGGCTTTGAGAGATGTAATTTATTAACATTAAGTCTCGTTTTTTTTTCCAACCTCGTCTCTTTTTATTTATTCATTTTTTTTTCTGTATTTTGTTTTAATGCACAGTGGGTTAAGAGCCACTCCTCCAATCGTGTATTGCCTCACGTAAACCGCAGACGCCAAGTATAATTTAACAGCGCATGGAAAAATGAACGATTACAGATTCAAGGCCTACACCAAGAACGATTACCAGACATTACACGCACGTTGCATTTCGACTTGAATCCTATACATATACATCTATAATACTAATGTCATTGGAAATGATTTTTTTTTTTTTTTTTTTATTTTCAAAATATAATCTATTCTTCATTCCCAGAATCGGCTCATTAACATATTTCACCACGTCATTCACGCCGAGGCCTATAAATTAGCTCAATTTTATTTTTAATTTAATTGAAATTTTTAATTTAATCTCAAAATATTATTGAAATAACTAATCTCGCTATTGTTGAATTTTATCAACTTTTATAAATCTCTCGAGGTGAAGATTTACATAACCTAAAATATACGAGAGGAAGCCACATGGGAAATTAATTACAGAGGAAATTAATAAAAAAAAATATTTCAATAGATTTTTCCAAACATAACCTCTAAAAAAAAAAAATCCGGAAATGCAATTCTGAAACTTCGTCACGTTCACGTCATCATACAAATGACAATTCCGTGTTCTTTAAGGACGCTTACACGAGAATATATATATAAAGTAACGTCGCCTCTTTAAAAGTACAAGGAAGCAAACATAGAGACTCGCGAGAGATTCAAGAACAAGGTGCTTGTTGCGTCAACAACGAGAGGATCCTTGGGGTTTCGCGCAGTTATTTCCTTACATGCCTACCCTTCCCTTATCGGAATTAAAAAAAAAATATATATATATATATATATATCCACAAAAGCCAAACATGACGTCCGCTCTCTCCATTTAAGTCGAAAATTCAACCACAAGTATTTAATTCCGTTCAATTCCGTTGGAATTTCCGGCCTTTAATTTCTGCTCTGCTGATTTTGAAATTCTATACTTTATATACTTCATCAATATCTTCCAGAGGACGACAAAAAAAAAACGTAACTATTTTACAGTAGAAACTCGATATGTGCCTTCTTCTCGCTTTCCTTTTCGTATCGCATATATATATGTTTCCAGTTTCGATTACTATAACGCGACGCTTACAATTTAATCAATAAATGAAACTACCTCGCTATTATATAAATCATTACATAAACATCGCCAATGAGTTTGAAAATCAATACAATTAAAAACAAATGATAAATAATAACAAAAAAATATAAATAAAAATAATATAATATTAAAAGTAATAAAAAATAATAACTCTTAAAATAGTAAAAACTAAGAAAAGTAGAGAAAAGAAAAAATATAATAATAATAATAATAATAATAATAATAATAATAATAAGCGAGAGGAGTTAATGAAGAATATAAATTTTGTCGAGATAAAAAAAAGTGAGTCGGCTTATTTTATGATTTATGATTGAAAAATGTTTGGGATTGGAGAGGCATATATGTATATATATAAAAGAGAAAAAAAAGTTGACAGGGACAGTATAAAGAATAAAACAGATTGTTTTGATTGAAAGAAGTTATGAACACGTATCTTGGGAACCTGACTAATGCTATTAAAGAAGATATAAGTGGATGGGATATAATATATTATTCGCTATTAGCCTGCAGCTGACGGAAGTAAAATACTTAAGGTCAAGCCAAGAGGTAGGTTCGCATCTCAACACACAACTCTTGTTCGCGGCCTTCGTTCACCAAAGTGACAGTTTATCTCTACGTGGTATACATTCGCGATTGGCATCACTGCATTTATTTGTATGCGAAAAGAAAAATGTCTTCCATATATATATATATATATATATACCCAAGTTCATATATGCCTTATCAGGGGAGAAAGAATCAAAGGAAAAAAATTCTTTATTATCAACTTCCGATTTTTATCATACACTCTTTTCAATAATTCAATTTTTTTTTCTAAAAATACAACTTTTTGAAAATTCAATTTTTTTAACGGTCTCTTCCCCCTCCCTCCCCCCTCTTTTGAGAAAACGGTTCTCCGTTCTCGTTACGACGATATGGGCTTTTAAAAAAGGGGTCAAAATTAATGTGGAGCGCAATATTTATGTGCGGCGAGGCTTTTACGATGTTGAAACGTCCCGAGTTGAATTTATCATAAGGTACCACCCGTCTCAAGTGCTAAAGAAACCGAAGAGAATGACCGAAATGAATATGTCAAAAAAAAAAAAAAAAAAAAATAAGAGAAAATTGACTGAAAATGCGAGACTTTTTTTTAGAGAGAAATAGAGTGGGAGCAAAAAAGGGAAAATTGAAAGCTAACGTTTTGTATAATATGGGATCATGGTTTATTGATGTGGAGAAAATGCGATTGGGATCGGAGTAGGTATATACGGTAATCGAGATTTGCTGCAGGGGTTGCAGGTGGCACCATTGCAAATCCGACTCTACTCAAGCTAAGTACGTCAAAGGGTTAAGCTCCTCCATAATAGACATTCAGGACTTGCATTCACGTTCCATTTCCGTTGATTCTATATCAAGCCAAAGGGAACCCGAGATTAACGTATAGGGAATATCTTCACTCGAACGTGAAATGTCCATGTAAACCATGTGTAAAGACCGACGTTAATTCGTCTGATTATTATTTCAAAGTGAGCTGATTATATACTTATACTTGCAATAGTGGGTGCTAGAGAAAAAAAGTTAATCTACTTTCAAAACTCTTTTGATATTAATTTTTTTCCCATTATCTAATTTATTTCGTCATTACTTTTTTCATACTTTTATATATATTATTCTATTTCCAATTTTTTATCCTCTTGTTTTACGTTTTTTATTATATTTTACTATACTTGATATTTTCCAATTATTCTTTTTACCGCGTATAACGTATTTTATTCTTTTTACAATTTTACAATTACTGTTTTTACGAAAAAAAAATTTACAATTACTGTTTTTACAATACTTTAACAATATATTTATCAATTACCGTTTTTATTATTTTCTAATATCATTATTGATTTTATTGCATTTTCCGTTCAATATTCTTTTTTTGAATCACGATGATTGAAAACTCGGTCAATAAAATCCGGTAGAAAATATAATAATGTGGGCCTTTGTATTATTATTATTATTATTTTTTTTAAATAAACCATAGAATTAAGTAATAATTGAATAGAAAAAGAAATGATAGAAAAAAAAATCAGTTTCTCTATAGTCGATTCGTGTGTGCGTCTTTCGAAAGAAGTTGTAAAATAATTATTAAACATATTAGCCATCTCGGTGGAACTTTCGATTATGCGCTTGTCCTTCGAAACACATGGGCGAGGTCCTATAAAAGCAACCGGCTAAGAAACGCAGTAAAAAAAAATGTTATGGCTACACTCCAGTAATTGACTTGTGGGCGTGCAACCGAGCCGTAAAACTTGAGAGAAGTCCCGGAATCTAAAAATCTGTCTCGTTTTTAAATTGTGTTAAAAATTTTTGAATTTTAAAGGAAAAAAAAGCGTTTATTTTAATATTTGTCTTTTCCAGTTTTCAATAAAACCTTTTTTTTTAACTGCATCGATTCCTTTTACTATATGACCTGAAAAAAACAAATTTTCGATTAATATATATATATTTTTAAATTCTCTTTCTAATTTTTCCCTAACCAAATGTTTTCTTTTTCTGTTACAGACCAAGAAAAATAATCCCAATCACATTAAGAGACCAATGAACGCTTTTATGGTGTGGTCACAAATTGAGCGTAGGAAGATCTGTGAGATTCAGCCCGATATGCACAATGCGGAAATCAGTAAACGATTGGGTCGTCGATGGAAAACATTGGACGATGAGGCAAGAAGGCCATTCATTGAGGAAGCCGAAAGATTACGACAATTGCACATGGTTGAATATCCCGATTATAAATACAGACCGAGGAAAAAAACAACAAAACCATCGCCCTCACCAAAAAGTAAGGAACTCAAAAAAACTAAAAAATTGTCAATGTCACCACAACAAAATATTTCACCATCAAAAATGCGCAACGATTCAAATAATAATAATACCCAATCGCCAATCAAGAGGCTCCAATCGCCACCAACGACAAATCCTGTCTCAAGGCTCAAGATAAAACTTGCCCTTGACAAAAGGCCACAACAAGATTATACGCCTTTACCGCCAATAATCACTGCCAAGGTGCCAAGTAGTCCATCATGTGACACACCCGATTCACCTGAATCGGCAAGTTTTTACGATGACAATTTCATTGATTCAAGCTGTCTTCAAACAACGACAACAACAACAACGACGACGGCAACTAAAGTTAAACAAGAATCTGATATTGAATACAACGAGTTCCTTAATGACAGTTTATTATCATCGGTGAGCTCATTTGGTGGTGATCTTGTATCCCTTGCACGCAGTAGCAGCAACTATCAACGAACGACATCATGTCGATCATTGGACAATGTTTTTGTTAAGGAAGAACCACACGACATCACAACTGGTACAACAACAATTCAACTTGTCAATAATTCAATTTCCAATTGTTCACCAATAACAACTGGTGTTCCAACAATAACGACGACGACGACGAATTCTAAATTAAATATTGACGACACAACGAATCACAATCTTGGTGATCTTGATTCACTATTGCAAATCTCATCAACGGATCTCCTTCAAATTCAACCGGACTTTAAACTCGATCTCGATATGGACACAATTACGACTGATCTTGATTCATTTGAAACATCAAGCTCCAGCAGTGGATCGCATTTTGAATTCACTTGCACACCTGATGTCACGGATATGTTGTCGTCAATCGGCGTTCATAACGAATGGGGTAGTTTTTAAAAAGAAACAAAAGAAAAAAACATTGACGATCGAGAATTTTTTTTTTTCAAGGGAGGAAGTGATATTAGAATTTCGAGAGATTTGGAATCAAAAAAAAAAAAAAAAAAATTGGATTTTTTAAACAAAGTTTGTTGGAGTGATCTTTTGGAGAAACTCAATTCGGAAGTTTATATTGTAATATATTTATTTCTTTATTTATTTATTTGTCGCGATCAGAATTTTGAGGTGACGTTTCCTGCCTCTCTTTCCAAAGTATTCTGCGGTTTCGGTTGGTGGGGTTTTCTTTTTTGCGTCCCAGGCTTTCAAACTGAAACCGGTTACGCTATGGAAGCCCTGATGAGAGTTTGGCCAAGGTGAGGAGAATCTTAACATCCTTTGGGAAAAATCTTTTCAATGTTTTTTCTTTCTTTTTTTTTTACCTTTCAAGGCTTTGCGGTCAGGACTTTTTGAATGATGGACAATTGTGAGAAATTTGTTCTTTTTCGGCTCAATTGACAAATTAGCGGAAATTTTTTTTTTTGCTTAAAACATGAGAAATTATATTCAGAAAATTTTTATACATTAAAAAAAAGGACAAAATTTATTTTCTAATTGATCCATGTTTATATATTTTTTTTTTCTAAAAAAAGATTCTCCTCCATTTCTCTCAGCGTTCGATTGCAATTTTTCCCCGAAATTCGGAATTGAGTTTCTTCAAATAAAAGGCCAGTATTATGTTGCTATATATATATACATATATATATAAAAAAAGAAAATTGAAATCAAACCGGAAGTTGGTTGCACTTCCGGTTTCTTTCGATTCAAAATCTCTCGAATCAATCGAGATTCACGATTCTGTCGAATTTCGTCAAGAAGAGAAAAAAAAGTGATCCTCCACATTTGAAATCCGATACGAAATTTCCCCTTTGGCTTTTTCAAAGTAAAATTATAAAGGAAATATAAAAAATAAATAAAACGTATTTTCATTATTTTTAAAAACAAAATTCGTAATTATAAAAAATCATAATTAAAAATATTAAAAAAATATTTTTAAAAAATATTTTTAAAACATATTTTAAAAAAAGAATTAAAAAAAGGATAATTTAAATCCTCTAGGATATTTTTATATTTGTTTTTTTTTAGTGTGGACTTTCTATTTATAAAAATTTAATCGCGTTTTTTAATGTCATTTCACTATATATTTATAAATATATATAAAAAATAAATCTAATCGTTTTTCTAAAAAAAAAAATTTTGTATTTGTATACTTAGGAGTAATATTTTAAGTTTTGTGTTTTTTCTCAATTCCTAGGTAAAGTTAAGTAATTAAGTAAAAAAAAAATATATATATATATTGTCTTGTATTGTATTTGTATTGTAGAAATTTTTTGTTCCTTTATTTTTTGGCTAAAAAAAAAAAAATCTCAGGATGAAAATGTGGAGAAAAAAAAAGTGTTTTTTATTATTTTTTTATAAGCGCTCGATCGTCTCTCAATTGCTAATATTGTAAAGGCAAAAAATTTTCTTGTTTTTTTTTTTGAAATATAAAAAAGAAAATTTAAAAAAAAAACACACACACACGATATATATATATTCGCGCCGATAAAAAAAGTATAATATAAGCGTTTTTGTATATTTACTGTAGCATACTAGTTTTGTAACGCTCTTTTTCTACGAAAAAAAAATAATAATAATAATAATTAAAGGACCGCCGAGCGTTAATGGGCAAGTGAAAATTTCTTTTTTCTCCACTTGTGAGAGAGAAAAAAAAATCACTAATTTCTAGGCATCGTTTCTAGATTATTGATGAGAGAAAAAAAAAAGAAAATAAAAAAACGTGCCTCGAAAATTTGTCGCCGATTGACGCTCGCCGATCCAAAAAAAATGTTGTGTATATCGGTATATTTAGTAATATATAACACTTGTAGTATATATGAAAGCAATCCTACGTCGTAAGTCAGAGAAAGAGGAAGGCGTTTCGAGGAAGGGAACAAATCGAAATGCAAGATTGGAAAATTTCTACAGTCGATTCTCGATAAGAATTTTTATTTTTCAATTCAAAAAATAAAATTTTTTTTTTTCAAAATCAATCAAACCTCGATAATTGCTACAAAAAAAAAAAAAAAAAAATTGTGAACAATTATCGAGGATTCACTGTATTTAAAAATTGTGGAAAATTTTTATCGTCCATTTGGAAATATATATTCTGATAAAAATCCTGGACCCTCGATTAAATGTCGAGACAATTATTCGAGGGTCCACTGTATTCTCAGAAGTGTCAATTAAAAAAAGCGATTTCCAAAATTGATTATCGAGGCTTGACTGTTAACATAGAAAATTTATTTAACACGAAATTTTGCCACGTCCTGCATATATCGATTCGTTTCCAACTCTTGTCAAGTCATAAATACGCAATACAAATACCAATAATAAATAATACAGGATGGTTTTTGATGAACAAAATAAAAAAAAAAAAAAATTCATTCAATAAATTGAAAAATGGCGAAAAATTTGTCGTTTTAATAAAAAAAAAATCCCCATTTTTTGATTTATTGACTGAAACCCATCCTAGTCAGAAAAAAAAAACATTTATATAAACTTGTGCAAACTCGAAATTCGGAGACAGATTTTCATAGTGGGATTGAATGTTTTTTTTTTATTATTTTTTTTAATAATAATATTGCCCTCTACAGGAGGGAAGTGCAGTTTTTTTTTTGTTCCTTTCGAAACGGTACTTCCGGTTTTTGAGGAACTAACAATATCAAACTTTGATCTCATGTTCTTTTACATTTATTTTAATTACTTAAAGTTATTTACGTTAGACTACTAATACCAGCGAGAGCCCACTACCGTTTTTTTTTTTCCTCATAACTAAGACTTTCTCTGTCGTTTCTTGCTTTTTGCGAGACAATTTTTTTTTTTTTGCCATTTTTGCGAGTTCCAGACGTGTCAGGGTTAAATTTTTGTTTAAAAAAAAATGAAAAAAATATTTATCGAAAGTAAAATTGAAATAGAAACTGTAGCATCGAATAAAAATATAGAATTTCAAAATCAAAAAAAAAAAAAATAAATAAAAATGAAAATCAGTGCCTGAGCACCTCCGATCAAGGGTTGAAATAAACTGTCGTACAAAATCGAAAGCAGGGCCAAAAGATAAAAAATATGTTTAAAAAAAAATGAAATAAAAAAATATTTAATAAAAATTTCTTTCTGGATTAGGAGAGGAAAACACGTCTTCAATAAAAAAAAAAATAAATAAAAATAAAACAAAATCATAACCGCTACAATTATACAAAATACTGCAGGCTGTGATGTGATGTATCTCTGAAGAAAATTAAATAAAAAAAAATAATATGTATTATAGGAGACGTTTAATGAATTTCGAGATTCCGTGCAAAAAAAAAAACCAACTCATCCAGAAACTCGTACCACAAGTATTTTTTACCTGAATTTTGGAATTGAAAGTCTGACTAAAGAACTGCCATTGTTTTTTGGGTATCAAGGAAAATATTTAAAAATCTTAAATATTTTCTCTTTCTCAGAAGGCAAAAAAAAAAAAAAACATATCAGGCTTTTTGTAATTGCATGTACTCCCATTTTTTTTTTTTTTTTTTTTTTTTTTGTCTCTTCTCTCAAAGAATTAGATTTAATAATTATTAGTAAAAAAGCAATTTGACACAAGTGCAAAAAAAAATTTTTTTGACTAAAAACAAAGAAGTGCAAATAAATCTCAAGACTGTTGTAAAAAAAAAAAATAATAATTCTGCCATTAAAGGGAATCTAATCGTAAAGAATTTAATGATTAGTTACAAGTTTTCGGTGGTTTTATTCGCAAATGAATTCACGAGGTGGGCAATCAGAGAGCCGCCATTTTTGTTTGCGAATAAAAGCCCCCACTTCACTCTTCTCACACTTCTATAAAAAAAAAAATTTTAAAACACGTGTCGCATGCAATTATAATCTGAATTTTTTTTGCAATCGAGGATTTCGTGATATAAAAAAAAATCGAGACCCACAAAAAAAAATTCCTGTGCCAATACAGAAATTTTCTTCATTTTTTTCTTTCTGTTTTTTTAATGACTAAAAATTAAAGTGTGCGTGAATTTTTTCAAAAAAGGAAAATCATTTTTTACTCGTGGTTTATAAAAAGAGTTTCAATATTTAGATTTATAAATAATAATAAATAAAAAAAGAGAGCAAATCGCTTTGTCTTTGTAAAGAAATTTTTTGTAATCGGCTTTATAAAGTTTTTTTTTTCGTATCGTATTTGTGTAAACGTTTTTTTTAAAAGAGTCGCTCTATAAGATCTAAACGATAAGAAAAGAGGGAGAAAAAAAAATGAAACTGAATTTCATGAGGAAATTGAATCGAGATGAAAAAAGAAAGGGATCATCAGAAAATAGGGAATTTTTTCTTTTTTCTTCCAAAGACACCATCGGAGGAATATAATTGTGTTATTTACTCTTTGTTTATTAATCGAATTTGAAAATTTAAATATTTATTGATATCTTTGAATATATTTAATCTCCTATAAATATTTAAATATTGAAATATTATGAGAACTCTAATGTTTTAAGATGCAGTCGACTCTCGATAAGTGGACGTTTATAAAAAAAAAAAAAAAAAAAAAAATATAGAAATAATAATTTAGTATTCAAACGAAAAAAAATCACTAGACCATTTATCGAGGGTCCTCTGTATATTTGAAAAAAAAGTCCATCTATCCAGATTCAATAGAACCTCGATAAGGACACTTATCATTAAAAAAAGAAAAAAAGAAAAAAAAATCCTAATATTAATTATTAAATTAATTATACATATATACATAAATATATTAAAATTGTCTAAATATAAATTACAATTATATAATTATATAATTTATATAATAATAAATAAATATAAATATAATTTATTCTATTAGAAAATAAATATGAAGTTTGCTATTTTTAGAAAATTTCCTCCGAAGGTTGAAAGGGAATTAAAAAAAAAAAATATTGAAAACAGAGAACTATAAAAAATTTTGTTAAAAATAAATGTGAAAAACTATTAACTGATTTGAGACGAGTTTTTATTTATTTTTTTTTTTCTTCTCTTTTTTTTTTGTGGGAGAGACGAGGTCAAATTTCTGCTCATTTTCAGGCCTCCTTTCTCCCGCACAAGGGTCAAATTACGTCCACCATTATTTTGCGAGGTCCCTCGGTAATTTGTCAGGACCGTATATATATATATATATAGTTTTTTTTATTGTCCTCCCCCCCTCTTCCCACTACCGCAAATTTTTCGAGGGATATACAAAAGAATAATAATAATAATAATAATGATGATGATGATGATGATGAAAAAAAAGATATCGATGCTCAAATAAGTATTAAGTTGTACGACTCTGGTAGCCCTGACGATCTGCCGGTTGCACTCATTCGTTACGATTAGAAGTTTTTTCAATTTTTAAAAAAAGAATCATACAAAAAATATATATATATATATTATATGTATATGATACGGCAGAATTAGGTGTGTAGTAGTTTCTAACAAATTTTTAGCGTGTATATATGTCCAATTTGAGAGACGATGTTCAGGAAAAAAAATAGTCTTTTTTTTCAAAGAGAGTCATCTATTTTTTTTTTTTTTATTTTTTTAACTCTATTTCGAATATTGCTCTTGGTGTACAAAAATTGAAAAAAATGTTTTAGTTGCATTTTTTTGAGTTTTTAAATTATTTTTTTTTACCATTTAGAATTTTTTTTTTATTTTTCACTAATTTATTATTATTTTATATTTTTATATTATTTTATTTATTATTTTTCTTTTCTGACAAACGTGTATTTTTTAATAAAAAAAAATTATTTCCCCTTTGGAAAAAAAATGGCAAAATTTAGAAAAATATTTAATTTTCAAAAAATCCGTTTTTTCTGGGTGCCATAAAGCGTTTTTTTTTTTGTTTTACTATATACAACATTGTATTTCTTTCCTTTCTATCAATCAAAGTACACCAAAGTGCAATATTTAGAATTTTTTTTTACATTCAAATTTTTTATAACCGAAATTGAGACTTTATTTTGTTCTACTTATTTGCTTAATTATATATGCGAAAAGAATATTTAAAAAAAAAACAGAAAATATATTTCTATATTTGCAAAAATACGAGTGAAAAACAAAAAAAAAAAAAAGAACGTGAATTTATACAAAGAAGAATTTCAGAATTTTAATAATTACCAAAAAAAAAAAGAAAATCAAAAACAAAAAAATCAAAGAATTTAAAAAACAATTTTTCCTATAAAATAATTTTTGTTGAAAAAAATAACAAAAGATACAAATTAGATAAGTAAAAAAAACCGGTCTTTTTCGGCCAAAAATCTATTTTTCGGATTTATATAATTTTTTTACTAAATAAAAAAGAAATGAAAAATTTAAAAAATTGAAATATTTTTACAATTTGTCAAAAAAAAGAAAAAAAAAATTTTTTCCGCGCGTTCTTTTTTTCTCCCCTCGCGTTTTGTTCTCCCCATGACTATTATTGTCGAAAATTTTTTATTTTTACATCACATATACGCGCGCACTTAAATTTTTTTTTATTTCCTTTTTTTCATATATATTATCATATGTTTTAAAGTGTTTGCGTTTTTTTTTGTTTATCGTTTTAAAACAATGTTTTTTTTTCTCTTATTTTTTTTTTTTTTTGAATAATACTTATTAATAACTGATGTACTTTGTAACAGATTTTATGATCAATATATTTGAATTTATAAACAAAATAAATAGAAGAAGAAGAAAAAAAAACAGAAAAAAAATGAAAGAAATATCGAATAAAAGAAAGATACGTCTGTAAGTTATTCTATTCTATAGTTTCTTAAGTTTTACAACATTTTTACTGTTTAAGATTTAAAAAAAAAAGAAAAAGAAAAATAAAAAAAGAATGTTGCGCTAACAACTAACTTTAACCAATCCCATTGTACATTTGTATTTAGTACCCTTGTTTATAATACTTATTATCTTGTTATTAAGTACACGATTTATATCATTTTTTATCGAAATTATTAAAAAATCTTTTGAAAAATATCATGCATTTTTACTACCTTTTTTTACCCATCATTGTATAGTTAATAATTTTTATAGATTATAAGTTGCGCTATTATGATAATTTTTTTTTTTTCTAAATTTAAAAAATAAACAATTTTTAATTATTCAATTCGTTTATCAATTTTAATTACATTTTTTTTTCTTGAGAACAAAATTTTATTGATAAAAAATTATCTTATGTTAGTTTTATTCGTAATTACGAATTTTTAAATAAACAATTAATTACTTGATAATTGATTATTTTTTCAAATATTTATTATTATTATTATTATTTTATTATTATTACCAATATTTTATAATTTTAAATTTTTATACTTTCAAATAGAATTTGATTATTTGTGAAATTTTTGTATTATAAATTTATTTATTAGTTGATAAATTATTAATTACTAGATTAATAGATTTTAGAAATAATATTTTTATCAATAATTTTAAAACGGAAATTGGATATTACGGAAATATTGGTAAGTACACATATATTTATCTTTAGACTTTCTTTTTTATTTACAAAAAAAAAATCGTTATCTAAAAAAATTAAGAAAAGAATAATTGTTTCGTTCAAATCGTTTAAATGGCGATAAGAAATTTATCGATGGTCCTTGTCAAGAGCAATTTTTATCAGCTTGTCAAGTTTCTTCAAATGTTTACACAAAACTCGGACGTACGATTTCAAGTACTCGGCAATATGTGATAAGAAAAATTAAAAAAGAATCATTTACTTTGACTGACGATTATATATATATATAGTTCTTAACAAGGTCACACTTTGCTTTCGAAAATTAAAACGAACAAATTTATTATTTAATTCATTTCTACAAAAAATTATAAATAATTTTAAATTTCAAAAAAAATTTTTTAAATATTTTTATTCGGTACAATATTTAAATATTTTGCTAATTAGAAGTATAAATTTGTTTCCATCGAATTTTTAAAAAATTAAAAAAATTTTTTTTTTTTTTGTTAATAATTTAATTGGGACATGTGGAGAGCGCGAAAACTTTTCTCTCCTTTAATCCGTAACTGATTGACAAACACTGCGTGTATATACATAATTTAGGCTCGCACACTAACACACGCTCAAAGACAAAAGTATATGAGGGCCCATGTTATTATGACTATTGCCAAGAAATTACATCCCCATTAGAGAAATTATCTGTAATAACTAATTCCATGAGCGCGCGAGACAAAAGCGGTGGTGTGGATAATTGCCGGAACGCATTTGCACAGTTAATATGAAAACGTAAAACATAAACTGTGCACTATTAAAACGCGAGAAGAAAAGAAATAATATGAAAGTTTGCGCGCTATATATACGTTACGTATAGTAGTATGTCGTAAAAAAAATGAGTTTTCTATCCCGAAAATAAACCCGCCTTCTTGTTGCTTATATACTCTAGATGAGAATACTATAACTATTATCATATTATATATATATTTTTTTTATTATTACTATTATCATTATTATTATAATTATTTTTAGACACTTTTATTTTCTCCTTTCTGGTGTTTGTAATTTCGACATTGTTGCGATATATATTTTTTTTAAGAAATTGGTATTATTTTTTTTTTTATATTTTTCATTAAATAATTTTCAAATTACAAAACAAATTACAACAAATTAAAATAAATTAAAATAAATTAAAAGAGGTTATATCTATTTCTTGTATCATTTGGGTCCTAAAAACATACATAACCTCAAAATTTATGTGAATTTTGACTTGTGAAAATAACCGTAAGTCCCCAGAGTTACCATAGGGTTTAAGATTATGACCGATAAACATAACTTTAAATTTCCGTGACCAAGGAATGAATATAACCTCAAAATTTAGGTAAAATTTTAATAATTTTTAATGTCCCGTTAATAAACGAAATTGAAATTGAAATAATTAAGCCTTAAAGGGGAAAATAAATGAAGTTGGCGCGCAAGGGGGCGCGATTTTTTACGTGAAAAATAATGAATAGGTATCAAATAATGATTTTAATTTTAGGATCATTTTCAAAAAATGATCCCAATATTTGGATCAATTTGCTACCTTATATCGAATCAAAATGTTGCATTCCAAAATAAATTAAAATTCTAACGTTTTTTAGAATTTGTGACGCACCGCGAAGAAAGGGACCTTAAAAGCAAACAAATTATAGGTTATGTTTACCGACAGTTTTATCTTGAGATTAAAAGTTTTTTTTATCGTTTCTGTAACATAAAAATCAGATAATTATTTTAGATATAATAAAGACTTAAACATATTTGCATTAAGAATAATTAATCCTCTTTGTGTATTTTCACTTAAAAATTTCAAAATATAAACTACAATTTTTTGCTTCTATAAGATCTCTTTCTTCGCGACGCACCTCATATGCAACCGAGAAAATGATGACAAAAATAATTAATTTTCGAGAATCAACTATAAAAATACATCACAAAATTTGTTATCTTTTTTTTTGGTTTAGATATAGCTTATGGTTCTTAAGGTCAAATTGCGTCACTCGCCACGGCTTCTGATCGCGTTAAAATACCTGACCTTCCTCACACACACATATATATATATATCTATCGGGGAACCGCAGTCGCGCGTATGCATTAGCACTGAGATAAGCGATTTGTTACGGATAAACATCGAGGTGGTATTATTTGTATATATATATATATATATACGTATATATTACTTTCCTTCGGATTCGTTGTTTACTGACCGCAATGCATTTCATTAAAAACGATTGTATTTTAACGTTGTAATCAATTCCACCCTGTTGCTCCCGATCCTTTTCATTTCCATTCTTTTATTATTTTTTCCGTTTTTTTTTTCTTTCTTTCATTTCTTTTCTTCTCTTCTTTTTTTCTTTAATTAACATATCAATGTTGGTATATAAACCCCCATTGTGATTTTAAGTCATAAAGATTAATTATCTGGAAAGTAGGTAAAATTATTGGAAAACAAAGGGCTTGCGATGTTCATTGCTTTGTAAAAACAATGCAAAAATGAAATCATTACAAATGAAATCATATAATTATTCTATATATATATGTGTATTCGATGTATTTTTCTACAATTTTTCCAGTGAACTTTTCGAGCGTTCTCTGCTCTCGCGCATATTTATTATTCTTATGCGATGGTATAGAATAATTGGATTCTGAGAAATTGGAAATTTTTATCATCCGATTGGCGCGGAATAAATATATATAAACATAATTGCATTTTTCTACAAATTCGTTGATTTAATTTAACATTTTGAATATTTAATTTTAAATATAGCTTTTTACATGTATTATAATTTTAATCTGTATTCAAATTCACTGTAAAACGAGAGGTATTAATTTAATACCAATACTTTAGGTATACTAAATTGCCTTTTGGTTCTATTTTAATATCTAAAATCGGTACTATTTTAGTACCTTCTTTTTAAAGTGTTAAAAGTTTACTGTAAAAAGAAAGTACTAAAATAGTACCAATTTTAGGTATCAAACTAAAACAAAATGACAATTTAGTGCCTAAATTTGATATATTAAATTAATACCTTTCGATTTAGGGGCTGTTCACAAAATACGTAACGCTTCCAGGGGGGAGGGGGTGGGGTCAAGATATTTGTTACGGACAGACAAAAAAATGACGCTAATGTATGTAACTGAGCGTTACATGGGGGGAGGGGGGGGGGTTGAAATTTCCAAAAAAAAGCGTTACGTATTTTGTGAACAGCCCCTTACAGTGTTCATAGAGTAATTCGAATTTCTATATTCGATTTATTTTTTAATTCAAACTTTTAACAATTCTAAATTTCGGTTATTTAAATATTTAAAAAAAATATATATTTCTGTTGAAATTTCGATGATTGAAAAAGGAAAATATATATATACCAAGTTGAAAGCAAATGGTAATTTTACAAATGAATATAGTATTAAATTTATATTAAAATGCAGAATATGTAGAAACGTAGCTAATGACGAAAATGTTTATTACAATTACAATATTTCCACGTGTGGATATATTAGCTTGGGGCGCAGAGAGTTTACACGTGTGTGTACGTATATATATATATAATATCGCTGCGCGGTCGACGTACGTCGTGAAGACGTGGGCGAGACAAAAGTTGACGG